TGCGAAATTAGACATCAGAAAAGTGCCTAATTTCTCATCTTGTCGGTATTATATTCCATTATTGTGTAATACTACTTGTCTGACACAGCCACACCTGGAATCTTGATACAGAGGATATCTCCTACGACTTACTAACTGCTGTGCATCACCTGCTTTCACTGGTGAGTCCCGCCCACCTGTAACGATGACTTGAACTGCTGCACCTCATTTGATTCCAGTATTTAAGAGTTCATCTTCCTGCCTGTAATTCAGATTCCTCAAGACTGAGGAGATGATTACCTCATCTTCTACCGTTTTTGTATATCATATGTATACTGAATCGTAAAATACCCACTAGTTAATGAAACGTCTTCAAATAAAGACACCCAGGTGTTACACATGTGTCCTATTTCTCATATTGTATCCTTATGTCGGTAAATAAAGTTTTCCAGCACTATCTCCATCAGCTTTGTTTGGTCCTCCATGTTCCCGATTTGTCCCATCATATCACATTGTAGTTAATGTCTTATTTGATAAATAATTTTGCTTTAGACTCTTCTTGATACGTCCTCGATGGATTGCATCATATCCTCGTTGTTGTCTTTCTGTCTCAGTCCCTGTTGTTTCATGATAGGCCATAGAATGCAGTTACTACTTTGGTAGGTCCCCTGGTTCTTGCCCGACAGTGTTACTCCTCCAAGTCCTCCATTTCCTAATTACTTGGTACCATGCTGGAAATATCGTATTTATTATAGGTCCTGTTAATTTTGTTTCTGTGACGACTACTACACACAATAAAACCTTTGTTATTCGAACTTTAACTTCACCACCCTTGTTAGTTATTATATCAGTATTTGAGTATATATGAACAACAAGACTAATGATGGACTGTCTTCCTGTAGTGGCTTGCGGTTCCCTTCTGTGTAATGAATGAGGCAGTGGGATCCCTGGCACTTAACGAAACAAATTGGTTGGGTTCCATGGAACCTGCCTCACCCGAATGGGGTCTTTGGGTCGACTTCTGGCTGCTGCTCATCTGCGGCGGCATCCCCTGGCAGGTAGGTTCTATGTGACAACATCTACTGGCTCCTTGGCGGCGGCATAACCTCGAGGACGAATTATTACAGTCATTCACTTGGTAGGTGAGTTCTCTGCCAATTCCATCTTGCCATTATCTCTAACTCTTAAGTTTAAGTTGATGTAAGAATCGATCTGCTCTGTAAGTATCCGTCTTCTTCGCTTCTGGAAGAGAGAAGGAAATCCAAAACGTGTGTGTGTGTGTACGTCAGCGAAGAATAAAAATTACAATATGGTGTATGGAAGACACGAGTGACCACCAGTGTACAGAGGAAATTTAAGATAACATATCTGTCCGTGGTGAACTTTCATCAAATGACTAGTGTGACCTGAATCATCACGAGAGTGATGGTGCCAGGGTTGAGGGGCGGCGGCTGCCTGGTAACAGGGACGGTTGCCTCACTTGTTGGGAAGCAGCGTTGTTATTTTATTATTATTATTATTATTACTACTACTATTACTACTGTTACTATTTATAGACTATTTATATAGACTGAGGCCCTGAATCTGCACTCTCTCGAAAGACGTAGAATTAGGGGGGATATGATTGAGGTGTATAAATGGAAAACAGGAATAAATAAAGGGGATGTAAATAGCGTGCTGAAAATTTCCAGCCATGACAGGACTCGCAGCAATGGTTTCAAGTTGGAAAAATTCAGATTCAGGAAGGATATAGGAAAGCACTGGTTTGGTAATAGAGTTTTGGATGAGTGGAACAAACTCTCGAGTACAGTTATTGAGGCTAAAACGTTGTGTAGTTTTAAAAATAGGTTAGATAAATACATGAGTGGGTGTGGGTGGGTGTGAGTTGGACCTGACTAGCGTGTGCTGCTGGGTCTGGTACAGTGCTCCATCCTTGAGTGGAGGTGACCAGACTGGGTTAGTCATTGAGCTAATCCGGGGGGAGGGGTATTGGTCTAATCCGGGGGGGGACATGGACCTGCTCCGCATGGGTCAGTAGACCTGTTGCAGTGTTCCTTCTTTCTTATGTTTTTATTTATATTGGGGCCTGGGGAAGTTTTGGGGACTGAAGCCCCCGGGCTCCCCCTTCCCTCTTGGTGCCCCCACTGACGACAGTCACTTGATGATGATGATGAAAGAAGAAGAAATAGAAGAAAATTAAGATTTTCTTTGGTTTATTAACCCGAAGAGCTGATAATCCAGAAGAAAACATAAAGTGATAATAAAGAAAATAAATAAAAAAAACCCTTTTGTTGATACAAAACACGCTAGAGACACGTCTGTATAATTATATATATATATATATATATATATATATATATATATATATAATATATATTTTATATTATATATATATATATATAAATATATATATATATATTATATATATATGCAGGACAAGACTCGAGGGGGTGGAAATATTTAGCTCAAGTACTTTCACACTCTTCAGTGCGTCATCAGGAGCTGTGCAATGTTGCAAGCGAGCAACCAAAACAGGGAGAGAGGTCTCAGAGTAGGGTAGGTGTCACTGGCCACGGTTGCCCTTAGACTGGGTTAGTGGTCGGTGCCAACCCCACCCTACCATCATCCCCCCACTACCCATATAGGGTAGGAGGATTTCTGAGATGTCAAGTAGGAAATTGTAAGATATAAAAAGCCAGCCCCAAGCTTTTCCTAATCGTTTATAACAGGTCATATATTTTGAGAAAATAAGTTTCTCGTTAGATACTGTAGACATAGATAGCTATTATTCTGTGTGACCTTTTTAAATAATGAAAGGAATACAGTGTGTGTGGTAGCAGAGCAGGAGATGCACAAATTAACATTAAGGTTGACAACACTCTAATTACCAGAAATAATGGGGGAAAAATAGCAAGCATCGAACTTAAGCTAAAAGAATCCTTTAGGAGTCAGGAATCGCGGGAAGAACTAAAAGCCATAAATGAAATCGAAAGAAACCCAAAGTATTTCTTCTCCTATGCCAAATCAAAATCAAGAACAACGTCCAGTATTGGGCCCCTACTTAAACAAGATGGGTCCTACACAGATGACAGCAAGGAAATGAGTGAGCTACTCAAGTCCCAATATGACTCAGTTTTTAGCAAGCCGCTAACCAGACTGAGAGTCGAAGATCAAAATGAATTTTTTATGAGAGAGCCACAAAATTTGATTAACACAAGCCTATCCGATGTTATCCTGACGCCAAATGACTTCGAACAGGCGATAAATGACATGCCCATGCACTCTGCCCCAGGGCCAGACTCATGGAACTCTGTGTTCATCAAGAACTGCAAGAAGCCCCTATCACGAGCCTTTTCCATCCTATGGAGAGGGAGCATGGACACGGGGGTCGTCCCACAGTTACTAAAAACAACAGACATAGCCCCACTCCACAAAGGGGGCAGTAAAGCAACAGCAAAGAACTACAGACCAATAGCACTAACATCCCATATCATAAAAATCTTTGAAAGGGTCCTAAGAAGCAAGATCACCACCCATCTAGAAACCCATCAGTTACACAACCCAGGGCAACATGGGTTAGAACAGGTCGCTCCTGTCTGTCTCAACTATTGGACCACTACGACAAGGTCCTAAATGCACTAGAAGACAAAAAGAATGCAGATGTAATATATACAGACTTGCAAAAGCCTTCGACAAGTGTGACCATGGGGTAATAGCGCACAAAATGCGTGCTAAAGGAATAACAGGAAAAGTCGGTCGATGGATCTATAATTTCCTCACTAACAGAACACAGAGAGTAGTCGTCAACAAGTAAAGTCCGAGGCAGCTACGGTGAAAAGCTTGTTCCACAAGGCACAGTACTCGCTCCCATCTTGTTCCTCATCCTTATATCCGACATAGACCAAGGATGTCAGCCACAGCACCGTGTCTTCCTTTGCGATGACACCCGAATCTGCATGACAGTGTCTTCCATTGCAGACACTGAAAAAGCTCCAGGCAGACATCAACCAAATCTTTCAGTGGGCTGCAGAAACAGTATGAAGTTTCAACGATGAAAAAATTTCAATTACTCAGATATGGTAAACATGAGGAAATTAAATCTTCATCAGAGTACAAAACAAATTCTGGCCACAAAATAGAGTGAAACACCAACGTCAAAGACCTGGGAGTGATCATGTCGGAGGATCTCACCTTCAAGGACCATAACATTGTATCAATCGCATCTGCTAGAAAAATGACAGGATGGATAATGAGAACCTTCAAAACTAGGGAGGCCAAGCCCATGATGACACTCTTCAGGTCACTTGTTCTATCTAGGCTGGAATATTGCTGCACACTAACAGCACCTTTCAAGGCAGGTGAAATTGCCGACCTAGAAAATGTACAGAGAACTTTCACGGCGCGCATAACGGAGATAAAACACCTCAATTATTGGGAGCACTTGAGGTTCCTAAACCTGTATTCCCTGGAACGCAGGAGGGAGAGATACATGATTATATACACCTGGAAAATCCTAGAGGGACTAGTACCGAACTTGCACACGAAAATCACTCACTACGAAAGCAAAAGACTTGGCAGACGATGCACCATCCCCCCAATGAAAAGCAGGGGTGTCACTAGCACGTTAAGAGACCATACAATAAGTGTCAGGGGCCCGAGACTGTTCAACTGCCTCCCAGCACACATAAGGGGGATTACCAACAGACCCCTGGCAGTCTTCAAGCTGGCACTGGACAAGCACCTAAAGTCAGTTCCGGATCAGCCGGGCTGTGGCTCGTACGTTGGTTTGCGTGCAGCCAGCAGCAACAGCCTGGTTGATCAGGCTCTGATCCACCAGGAGGCCTGGTCACAGACCGGGCCGCGGGGGCGTTGACCCCCGGAACTCTCTCCAGGTAAACTCCAGGTATACCTTGACAACAACGTGAATTTCAGCACCCATATCCAGCATATAGCCAAAAAAGTATCCAAAACGGTTGGGATCCTCTCCAAGATACGATACTACGTGCCGCAAAATGCCCTTCTCACACTATACCACTCATTTATCCATACCTCACCTATGCTATTTGTGCTTGGGGATCAACTGCAGCAACACACCTAAAGCCAATAATAACCCAACAAAAAGCTGCAGTAAGAATAATCACTAAATCCCATCCCTGGCAACACACCCCCCCACTCTTCATAGATCTAAACTTGCTCCCAGTTCAGTACATCCACACTTACTACTGTGCAATCTATATCTACAGGGCCTTAAACTCTAATATCAACCTTGACCTAAAACGCTTTCTTGATAGTTGTGACAGAACCCACAGGCATAACACCAGACACAAACATCTCTACGACATTCCCCGTGGCCAACTAAACCTTTACAAAAATTCAATGTATGTCAAAGGCCCTAAAATCTGGAATACCCTACCTGAGAACTCTAGAACTGCAGACACATTCATCACCTTCAAAACTACCATTAGAAAACATCTTATCTCCCTGAACACCCCGTCAACTAACTACACGAATACCACCTGGTGGTTCACACTTACACTCACTCACTCATTTGACCATAAACGGAAATATTAATCTCAGTCTTAAAATAATGAATCCTGTGATACTCCAATACTGAAACTATGTACTGTGCCAAAACAAAAGCATTCACATTGCTAAACTCACAAACTAGTATTTAGTCACTTAGCCATAATACCAACTTACCTCATAATTTGTAATATTTTACAATTAAGAATAAAACTAAGTCTGCCCGAAATGCCTAGCCATGCTAAGCGTTCTAGTGGTACACTCTGTAATCACAATTTTACTACATGTAAACCACACAATAACCAAATTTCTGTAAACTCAGCATTGTAATCCTTATAGAGAATAAACTTTGAATTGAATTGAATTGAATTGAATTGTCCGTTTAAATGTCCTGCTCTGAGGTACTGGAATGTTCTACCCATGTACTCAGAAGTATCTCTTCCTACATATTGTCTACTGTTTTCTCAGTGGCTGTTAATATGCCATACATGGGGACTTCTTGTTCCAAGGTTCGTAGGTTCGAGTCTCCTTCAGCCAGAGATCAGTGTTTGTGTATATTTCGCCTGCTCTTGCGAATTCCTTGCATATATATATATATATATATATTATATATATATATATATATATATATATATATATATTATAATATATATATATATATATATATATATATTATATTATATATATATATATATATATATATATGTCGTGCCGAATATGTAAAACTGGTCAAGTTAGCAGAATCATTTAAAATTAGTCCTTTCTAAGATTTTCTCTTATACCTTAAAGATATTGTTTTTTTCTTAATGGTGATGTAAAATTTAATTTGCACCAAAAGGAATCTTAGATAACTTCCTAACTTATTTACAGACAATTTATTTTAGCTAACCCAACTAAATATATTTTGTTGTTTAAAATAATTTAATCTAAACAAACGCATTGACAATTTTTCTCGTTAGGTTCAGAATGATTTTGGCGAAATTATTGATACACAATTATTATTTTCTATATAGCAGATGAGCGTTGTATTTAAGCAAAGATCCAAGTTTGCTATTCGGCAACATATATATATGTCGTGCCGAATATGTAAACTGGCCAATTAGCAAGAACTCGTTTAAAATTAAGTTCTTTCCAAAATTTTCTCTCATAAGTTTAAAGATATATTTTTTTCATTAATGTTGATGTAAAAATTTATAATTTTGCACCAAAAGAATCTTAGAAAACTTACCTAACCTTATTATAACAAGAACAATTTATTTTAGCCTAACCCAACTAAATATATTTTAGATTTGTTTACAATAATTTAATAACAAACACAGTGAAACATATTTTTTTCGTTAGGTTCAGAATGGTTTTGGCGAAATTATTGCATACACAAATTTTCACTTGTCCTATATGGCAAGATGAGCGTTGCTATTTAAGCCAAGATCGCAAGTTCTGCCTATTCGGCACGACATATATATATATATATATATATATATATATATATATATTTATATATATATATATATATATATATATAATATATATATATATATATATATATATATATATATATATATATATATATATATATATATATATATATTATATATATATATATATATATATATATATGGTGCACTATACAGCTACATAATGCTAAGTGAACAAGTGTTCCAGATGTAATGAGACATGCCCCAATGTTTCCATTCGCTCGGGGATCAAACCCTGGTCCTTCAGATATGAGCCAAAGGTGCTACCTCTTTAGTCACGAACCACTTCATAATGATCTTTGACAGGCCGAAACATCGTATAAAAATTTCCCGTGTCTGTACATACTTTTGTGTAAAGTTATAACAGTGGTGCCATTGTTGCTTCCCGTCAGGTGTACTTCCAGCGGGTACTGTCGTGCAAGACGCCAAAACAAGCCCAAATGCTCTCCTTCTCAGCCTCCTTCGGCTGCATCATCAGTGCCGTCCCTGCTTGCATCATCGGAGCTGTCGCATTGGCTGCAGGTAAGCTGGCACCTACTGGCACCGGACCTGGGTTATACAACCTGTCACTCCTCAACCTCTGAACATGTACTAAGAAAGTTAAATATTAGTGTTGAACAATTATACAGTGGAGAAGTTTTTGTACAAGCTCGCGGTAAGACTTAAGATCGTTGGGTGATGGAAGGTATACCGCGTGTGACTCTATTGTCTCGCCCTCAGACTGGAGTCACACCAGCTTCGGCCATACCCCCATGGGCTACGAGAGTAAATTGGTACTACCCCTTGTCATGAAGAATTTCACTCCTGAGGTAAGTTAGTGTCAAAACCATCTTTTTACCCCCACCCCTGCCCCCCTCGTCATGGTCACACCCATCACTGGTGTCGTGGCAGCCACACCCATCACTGGTGTCGTGGTAGCCACACCCACTGGTGCCACGGCAGCCACTCCCATCACTGGTGTCTCGGCAGCCACGCCAATCACTGGTACTACGGCAGCCACACCCATCACTGGTGTCTCGGTAGCCACACCTATCACTGGTACCACGGCAGCCACACCCATCACTGGTACCACGGCAGCCACACCCATCACTGGTACCACGGCAGCCACACCCATCACTGGTACCACGTCAGCCACACCCATCACTGGTACCACGTCAGCCACACCCATCACTGGTACCACGGCAGCCACACCCATCACTGGTGCCATGGCAGCCACTCCCGTCATTCCCTTCATGGTATTACTCTCCAGTTACTGTTTTCACGGCAGCTATTCCCTTCACTATGCTCCCCCCGTAACTAACACCACCACCTCTCCAGTCACCATCACTATCACTACCACTGTTTCTATCATTGCTGCATCCATCACCATTGTCATTAGCACCACTAGTAAAGTCACTACCACCACTAACATCACTATCACCATCAATTCTGGCTGAACATATCGTTACTGACTTAAACATAATATTAAACATTAGATCTCGTTGATAAAGGTCTACACTTGCAATATATTACATATATTTGATCACTGTTTGTCTTTACAAAGTGACTGTTAAATGTTGACAGTGGGTGTCCTTAATTGGACTGGGTGCCGTCAGCGCCGCCGTTATGTCGTCAGCTGACTCCTCTATCCTCTCCGCTTCCTCCATGTTCGCCAGAAATATCTACAAGAATGTCTTCCGCCAGAAGGTAAGTCTTCCATAAGATAAGATAAGATTTCGTTCGGATTTTTAATCCCCGGAGGGTTAGCCACCCAGGATAACCCAAGAAAGTCAGTGCGTCATCGAGGACTGTCTAACTTATTTCCATTGGGGTCCTTAATCTTGTCCCCCAGGATGCGACCCACACCAGTCGACTAACACCCAGGTACCTATTTGCTGCTAGGTGAACAGGACAACAGGTGTAAGGAAACGTGTCGAAATGTTTCCACCCGCCGGGAATCGAACCCGGGCCCTCCGTGTGTGAAGCGGGAGCTTTAGCCACCAGGCCACCGGGCCACCCAAATTCCATTCCTGCCCCTCTCTCTCTCTCTTCCTGCTCTTCTCTCTCTTCCTGCCCCTCTCTCTCTTCCTGCCCCTCTCTCTCTTCCTGCCCCTCTCTCTCTCTTCCTGCTCTTCTCTCTCTTCCTGCCCCTCTCTCTCTTCCTGCCCCTCTCTCTCTTCCTGCCCCTCTCTCTCTCTTCCTGCTCTTTTCTCTCTTCCTGCCCCTCTCTCTCTTCCTGCCCCTCTCTCTCTTCCTGCCTCTCTCTGTCTTCCTCGCAGGGAACATTTTAAAGATCTTCCACCAGTTGAGTCCTCTCCTTCTCCCACTATACCTTTTATTGTACAGCAATAAAGGAATGGAACAGACTGCCTGCACATGTCACAGCCAGTCATAGCATGAACCAGTTCAAGAAGAGTGCCAAAAGGTGACTGATGAATGTAGCAACAGAAAGGGAGGTGTATGATTTTTTTTTTTTTTGCTAACACACATGTAAATATAAATAACTCATTTTACCTTATTCCTAGTATATCTCCTTTATAGTATAATAATAAGATATTATCTCCTTTACAGTATAATAAGGTATTAAAAGGACCCCAGTGGTAATAAGTCACTCTGACATTTTTGGGTTATCCCAGGTTCTCTACACATATGCTGCTATGTATAATAATCTATGTAACTGTATTTGTGTATACCTGAATAAACTTACTTACCTTTCCTGCAACATCAACATCTACAACAACGTCTTCTGTCAGAAAGCAAGTTGTCTCTTCCTTCATTATTTTCTTCCAGTGACCATTAAATTACTAGAACGTCTTTTCTGCGAACATTTCATGCAATTTCCTTTCTCTTACATGTAAATACTCACAGTAATTCTCATTATTTTCATTTTTTCTGCAGCCAAACATTTCCAATATTTCGAGCATTTCCACTCTCCTGCAGGCTAGTGACCAGGAGGTGATCTGGGTGTTGCGGGCATCCATGGTGATGGTAGCAAGCATAGCCTGCACCATCGGCATCGTCATCCATAGTATCTACTACCTATTGTAAGCGCTCATGGCTCCTGTCGATATCTTCTCCCACCTTCCCTTACTTCTTTCCCTTGTTCCCTTCATTCCCCCCTACTCTTGTTGTCACCCACATTAACTCCCGTCCTGCTTGCGTTTTTCTAACCCTACTCGAATCTTACCTTCCAAATTATAGTTTGTGAGATTTGTGGCGCCTCACTTCTTCAAGCGCCCTTGTATTGAAGATTGAGACACTTATGCAGCATATGGGAATCTTTATTTAGGAAACGTTTCGCCACACAGTGGCTCCATCAGTCCAAAATAAAGCAGAAATTTGTAAGGAGAGGAGGAGTTTGAGGTAATCAGTCCCTCAGCCTGGAGTCGATGTGTTCAGTCCATCAGTCTTGTAGAATGTACAGTATAGGTATGTATAATGTTCGCCAAGACCGTAGTCCTGGCACGGGTCTCAATCTTGCGATGACCCGTCTCTGGCTCCCGAGGGAGGAAGGTTTCTACAATGATGCGACGGTACAGTATAGGGCCGTAGACGTGGCTTATATACTGTAGTCAGGTGAGGCGAAGCAGGAGAAGGTGGGGTCATAGAGGTACCATCCACTAGTCGAAGTAGGTCTTCGTCCAAAGGTTGGACAAGTTTTGAAGAATTCTTTGTATCAAGATCCCATGATGATGCAGCGTCTGACAGTTGTGTTGAATGGTTTTGAAAACCGACAAGTTGAAGATTGAGACACTTATGCAGCATATGGGAATCTTTATTTAGGAAACGTTTCGCCACTGTGTGGCGATAAATTAGACACATGTGCAACTCTTGGGTATCTTTATTGAGGAAACGTTTCACCACACAGTGGCTTCATCAGCCTTGTATTATTAATAACATTTTTCCTGCCTACACATAATGTCCTGAACAACCTGGTGCTTGATGAAAACTCACAACACACTATGAGAGGTTCTTAAAGACAGTCTAACGCTGTATCCGACCTGCACTACAGTGACCCTAAGCATCTTCAGCGCAATTCATGTAGACCTTCCTGTGACTGATTATGATATTCTTAGATATGTTAATCATGCTCTGTATCATAACTCTTAAATTTCACATTAACTTGCTTATGTTGAACTGTCATTGCTGAGAATACATTGAACACTTACTCAGTAACTACAACGGTAATATGCTACGGAATATTATCATTTGTAAGAACATAAGAATGGAGGAAAACTGCAGAAGGCCTACTGGCCCATGCAAGGCAGGTCCTTATCAAAACGACCTCTACCCAAAGCTACCCAAGAATTTACTCCTGTACCCAATGGCACCAATCAAACCCAGCCCCTCCGACTCATATATTTGTCCAACCTCTTTTTAAAGCTACCCAAGGTCCTTGCCTCGATCACCCTACTGCAGTGGTTCCCAAACTTTTTCAGCTTGTTACCCAATTTAACATGCCACATAAAGCATGTTACCCCTTTCACAAAATGTTGTTATTATTGATATATATGGCTAAACGTGAACGTATACAGCCTCGCATACTCTGCTAATCCTAGCAAAACCATTGAAAACGTAAGAACCACACATACATTATATATAAAATTAATAATAGCTACAAATTCACAGTAACAGTGGGTAAATACTAACTATATACTGCACAGGGCAGTACACATACATACCAGCTTATGTCTACCTCGGCTGATGCTCACAGATAAACTGACAGTGTGAAATAGAGGCAGCCTCAGGAAGTGAGTGACGCGTACTGGACAGGTCGATCTGGGCTACTGAGTGACTTTTGTCCTGAAGCATACTTGTCAAAATACTTTTGGGTTTCCACACACTTAGCTATATATTTCTTCTTTTCTAATACTGTATATTAGTTTTTGATGTTTATTGTTATTTGGTTTAACTTTATTACTTACTTATAATAGGTTTACTTTACAACTTTATATACTAAGACAAAGTTAACAATAATCCTCATACCGGGTACCGCATTGTTTTCTTGATTTTCAGAAATCATAACTTTTTTTCTGTCACCCCTCCATTACCCCCCAAAAATGGTTAAATTACCCCCAGGGGGTAATTTACCCCCAGTTTGGGAACCACTGCCCTACTGGGATGATTGTTCCACGCATCCACAACTCTGTTAGAAAAACCAGTACTTACCTATGTCTTTTCTAAATCTAAATTTTTCCAACTTAAATCCATTATTTCTGGTTCTTACCTGGTTCGACACCCTCAGTACTTTATTAATATCTCCTATGCATATGCCCGTCATCCACTTATACACTTCAATGATATATCCCCTCATTCTACGTCTCTCCAGAGAGTGGAGATTTAAGGCTTTAAGTCTATCTTCATACGGGAGATTCCTTACACAGTAAATAATTTTAGTCATCTCTGTATGTTCTCCACTCAATCTATATCCATCCTGTAGTAAGGAGACCAAAACTTCTAGATGTTTCTAGATGTTACATAGTTTACTGTGAGGTTGTAACGTCATCTTGGACATGCAGTGGCTGTGTGAGCAAGCTTAGCCAAGCTATATTTAATGTGTATGGCTGGCTACTGGTCATATAGTGTTAGTATGCTACATAACTGTTATCAGTACGGTGCATGACTTATCAGTATGCTGCATGGCTGTTGTCAGTACGCTGATTGACTGTTGTCAATATGCTGCATGGCTGTATTCCCAGAGATTGTAAACATCAGTGCATGCCTCAGTAACTAATGTAGCAGGAAATAATGAGGATAATATTATGAATAACAATACTACTAATAATAATAAAAATAACAGATGCCAATAATGAAGTTACAGATATTCTTTGCCAAGTAATCACATTGATGTATTCGTAAGCATTTCTGTAATTTGCATAAAATATTGCAGTTAAACAGATTCATTTCTGAACGAGTCAATCTTTATGGATGAACATTGATTAAAAAACTTTTTCAATTCTTGTACCCAAGACCTTATTAACATTCCTGGTTCTTTCAGCTTTGTCTTGACTCCAACATAATGGATGTGTAAGTTGTTGCATATACTAAGTTTGAAATTATATATATATATATATATATATATATATATATATATATATATATATATATATATATATATATATATATATATATATATATATATCAATGAAACCACGAAACAAGTGGTTTTGAATCATTTACCAAATTGCGGCAGGCCAGGATTCGACCCACGACACATTGCCTCGCCTCAAGAGGCTACACAATGGCTGAGTGGATAAGGTGACATGTACATGGCCTCTTGAGGCGGGACAATGTGTTGTAGGGTCGAATCCTGGCTTTCCGCAGTTTGGTAAATGATTCAAAACCACTTGTTTCGTGGTTTCACACACACACATACACACACACATATATATATATATATATATATATATATATATATATATATATATATATATATATATATATATATATATATATATATATATATATACATATGTTGTGTTTGAAAAATAGGTTTTTCCATAGGGAATTTTTTTTTATCAGAAATAATATAACACCAAATCTAGTGTATTATGTACCCCATACCCATGGTGTGGGTGATAGTCAAGAGATTAATGAGGCACATAATGGGTGCAGGAACTGGGCCGCTAAGTTCTGATAGCTAAACGAGTTAGTGTCAATGAACTATTTACATGTTTATCTGGTTACTATCATAATGAGTAACTTAAGAAGACATGCAGTAGGTCACAAAAATATTTCCTTATATTTTAGCAAGGTATACTTGTAAAAAAATGTTTAGGTGGTAATGCATTATTTACAGTGGAAAGTCAGGGTATTTTTCCAGAATGGTTGGTGACATGCCACTGTGGATAAAAAAAATGTAACTGAATGTTTATCATCCATAAATGTTCTGAACTCCTTGAGTGTCAGTTGTGACACGCTTGTGTCAGAAACCAGAGACAGATATACAGGAGGGCCCCGCTTTACGGCGTTCCGCTTTACGGCGTTCCGCTAATACGGACATTTCAAATTATGACCAAAACTCACTATACGGCTCCCCCCACCTGACTTTCTAATACGGTCACCGTGCCCCACCCTGTTTGTTTACATTCTCCATGAGCTCAGTAAGCACTAAGTCTCTCCATTTTGTCTGGAAACTCCAAAATTTCAAATGTTTTTAAAAGTTATTTCATATTTTATATATACTCTGATAATTATACTTATGTATACCTGTACCTAAATAAACTTACATACATCGAGTCATTTAAATGTCGTATATTACGTTAATATACACATTTTCATTAATCCATCCATGATATTTTTTTCAAAATTATATAATAAACACGATGCATAACATATAAATAAGATAAATACACCCCACAGTAGAATAAATAAACAAATGTGAGATGTCGTAGCAGACGACTTGCACAAGTGGTGATAATAACAATACTGAGTCTCATTAAATGTCGTATATTACGGTAATATACACATTTTCATTAATCCATCCATGATATTTTTTTCAAAATTATATAATAAACACGATGCATAACATATAAATAAGATAAATACACCCCACAGTAGAATAAATAAACAAATGTGAGATGTCGTAGCAGACGACTTGCACAAGTGGTGATAATAACAATACTGAGTCTCATTAAATGTCGTATATTACGGTAATATACACATTTTCATTAATCCATCCATGATATTTTTTTTCAAAATCATATAATAAACACGATGCATAACATATAAATAAGATAAATACACCCCACAGTAGAATAAATAACAAATGTGAGATGTCGTAGCAGACGACTTGCACAAGTGGTGATAATAACAATACCGAGTCTCATTAAATGTCGTATATTACGGTAATATACACATTTTCATTAATCCATCCATGATATTTTTTCAAAATTATATAATAAACACGATACATAACATAAAAAGATGATAAATACAACCCCACAATAGAATAAATAAACATAAATATAAGATGTGGGAGCCACATAACTTGTACAAGTGACGCCAAGAATAACATTTTCTCTAATCTAACATAAGAGTAAAT